TCACATGTTTAAACATAGACATACATGCTTGGCTCCTCTTAGGAGCTATTATCCAACAAACATTTCCAAAGTCATAATATTGCATAACAAGTTTCAAAATTTACACTAGGGTATATTAATTGTTCATTAGGCCTCCGGGACAATTTCTTTGCTTTTGCCCTTGCTTGCACTTCCTCCTAGATGGTGTTAAACATAAGAGTGAGATTTCAAAGAAATCCCAGTAGCACATAATCACAATTATCATGCATTCCTACAAACACTACGTGCAATGCTTTTGTGCATTTATCTTGTTTATATGTTCATGCTTTTATGCCATTGAAAGTAAGCTATCATACACATATTTAATGGACATAATGCCAAGGCAACATAATTCAAACATTGCAATCAACATTTGCAATAAAGCTTAGTCACATCATGGCACACATTGCACACATTCACATTAACACATCAATGTAAGCAAGAAAACAATCAAAGTGTAATTCAATGCTACCTTTTGGCACTTGGTCCTTGATTTCCTTTAAGTTCAAGATGTTTTCTTGAGGATTTGGCAAGGTACCTATCAAACCAACACCAATGCCAATCATTCAACAATTATTCAAACACGTTCCCTATTACTTAAACATTAAACCCTTTTTCTTTGGATTTTTGGCCTAATTGTTTTCCTTTTGATTCAAGAAACCTCCTTGGCCATTCCTACATGATTTTTCATGTAGAATTCAAATATCAAATCAAATTTTACAAAACCAAATCCCTTCCTTAAGTTCTGGTTAAAACGGAAAAGAAATTTTTTACAAGAAAGATGTCAAAATTTCCAACTTTAATTTTTAATGCTTCTAAATTCAATTCCTCCATATAACCCTACACAAAAACGGCCAAGGAGTTGAATGGAAGCATCAAAACCATCAAAATCCAATCATAAGTCCATATATTCAAGATGGCTGGACACTTCCTCTTAGGTTCATAAATTTCCACATTTGATTCCAATGGATTTGAACATACTTCCTTAGCATAATCCTACATAAAATCAATTTTTAAATCCATTGGAACCATTAAAACTTATTGAAACAATTCCTACCCTTGAGTTCTTGAGTTGGCCGAACTAAATACTCATAGGTCCTAAGGTAATTTCTTCCATAACCCATTCAAAACAGCACCAAACATCAACAACACAAACTTATACTCAATTTGCTATCCGCTCCTAGAACTTCCATCATAACAGAAATGAAACAGCACTTCCCCCTCAAAATAAGTCACGGTTTGGCCATGAAAAAAGCATCAAATTAAAGCCTAAACATACCTTAAGGAGTCTTGGATTAAAGCTTGATGATTAACCTTGGATTGGAAGTGATTTGAAGAGTGTTTGGAAGCCAAGAAGAAAATTGTGCAGAACCTCCCCTCTATTGTCCCAATTCTGTCCGAATTTTGAGTGCCTTGTGGGGGTATTTATAGACCTCATTTGCTACCCAAAAACCTACCCTTGGGTAGCTATTTCTGCCCCAAATTAAGTGCAAAGGTCAGCCAAAATGAAGAACAAATCCTAGCCACACATGCTTTGACTCACTTTCCAAGAGAGTTGATCCAATGGTTGAAAATTTGCTCAGCACACAAGCCACCTGTCCTAGTCAAGATGAGCATGAATTTGGGCCTTGTTGGATGCTAACTAAATGGTAAAAACTGATTAGGGAGTAATGGAATTGGTTAGGGTAATTTTAAAAATTATTTGGTCACATAATACCCAATTTCTTGCCCCCTATTAGGGAAAAATAGCTAAGGGCTTCCAAAATTCCATTTATTTTCATGATAAACCCATATCTATTCCAAAAGTGTGATCTGGAAGTTTTGGGAATTTTTCAAGACCTTCAAATATTTTTTCATATTTTCTCTAAAATCAGGTCTTTACCGATAGGAATTCGAAAATAAATTCCCCATAAATTATTTCCTGCATTTCCAATGCTTGGAAACAATTTTATAAATTCATATATATTCCTAGGGAGTGTATCCATATTTTTCAAAAACATAATTATTTTTTTGGGAATTTTCACCAAAATTTATTTTGGGCTATTCTCACTCCCAAAACATCATAGGTGACTAAAAAACCCCTAATTCCACCTTTTTCTATTTTTAGGGAAATTTTGAGAACTTTTCTCAAAATTACCGTTTTGCCCCTAAGAACCTGATAAAGTCGGTTTCGTCCCATTTTGGCTTTTCATGCTTTACTCATACCTTATGCTTATCAATCATATCTCATTTCGCACATTCCCATTACTAGGGTTCCAAATTTTGGGATGTTACATTTCCCTCCCCCTTAAAATAAATTTCATCCTCGAAATTTAAAATGTACCTTATTTGAAAAGCTCGGGATAATTATCTTTCATGTCGTCTTCCTTCTCCTAGGTTGCTTCTTCTTGTGCCAGATTCTCCCAGATAACTTTAACGATTGGGATAGATTTCCGCCGCAACTGTTTTACTTGACAATCAATGATCTTTATTGGTTTGATCTCCTAGGTTAGGTCATCTCGCGGTGCGAAATCTTCATATTCTAAAACATGAAAGGGATCTGGCTGATACTTCTTTAGCTGGGATACATGGAAGACTTCATGTATTTGACTAAGATTCGGGGGTAGGGCTACTTTATGTGCCACCGGTCCTACTTTCGACAGAATTTGGAAAGGTCTGATGTATTTTGGTGACAATTTCTTCAATTTCAAAGACCTTCTTACTCCTGTTGTCGGAGAAACTTTCAAAAACACATGGTCTCCTATATTGAAGGTCAAAGACTTTCACCGAACATCCGCATAACTTTTCTGTCTGCTTTAGGCCATGAGCAGTTTCTGTCTAATCGGCCTTATCCTTTCAGTTATTTGCTTGACTAGGTCTGGCCCATATAGCTTTCGCTCCCCTAATTCTATCCAACACAGTGGGGATCTGCACTTGCGACTGTACAACACTTCATATGGAGCCATCTGTATATTGAAGTGATAGCTGTTATTGTAAGCAAATTCTGCTAACAGCAGATAGTCATCCCAATTATCTTTGAAATCCAATACACAGGCTCTCAACATATCTTCTAGTGTCTATATGGTTCACTCTGTCTAACCGTCTGTCTGTGGGTGATACGTTGTACTGAAGCTCAGCTTGGTGCCCATTGCTTGCTGCAGTGCCTTCCAGAATCAGGACAGAAATCGAGGATCTCGGTCAGATACAATTAACTCTGGCACTCCATGTAATCTCACAATTTCTTTGATATATAACTTGGCAAGTTTTTCTGGTTGGTAGTCTTTCTTCATTGCCAAAAAATGGGCAGACTTCGTTAATCGATCAATAATCACCATATCGCGTCATATCCAGATGAGGTACAGGGTAACCCCATGATAAAATCCATGGAGATACTATCCCATTTCCATTCCGAAATATTTAGAGGATGTAAAAGCCCTGATGGTCTCTGATGCTCTATTTTGACCTTCTGGCATTTAGATATATACTCTGTTATGTCCTTCTTCATGCCAGGCCACCAAAACATACATCGGAGGTCCTGGTACATCTTCGTCATTCTCGGGTGTATCGTATATTTGCTCTTATGTGCTTCCTCCAATAGTTGTTGCCTGATGGACTCTGGAACATATAGCTGTTCCTTATACTTCAATATTCCATCTGGTGACACCTCGATCGCATCATCCTCAGCTTTTGTTAGCTTAATTCGAAGTGTATCAGCTACCGGATTGCTCTTTTGGGCCTCTTTGATTTGTTCTATCAGTTGGGCTCCTTCTCTTATCACTTCTACTTTCTGGGTCATTAGTTTCATATGGGAAAAAGGTTCCTAATCTCTCACATCTTTGATCAGTTTCCGTTCCTGAATCATTAAGAACGCTACTTGTACTACCTTTCGGCTTAAGGCGTCAGCTACCATATTAGCCTTGCCCGGATGGTATTTTATCTGGTAGTCATAATCCTTGAGCAACTCTATCCATCGTCGTTGTCTCATGTTTAGTTCTTTTTGATCTTGCATGTACTTAAGACTTTTGTGGTCACATAGTTCAAGGATTGCCCCATATAGATAATGCCTCCAGATTTTTAAGGCAAAACTATTGCAGCTAATTGTAAGTCGTGAGTGGGATAATTCTCTTCATGAGACTTTAACTGTCATGAGGCGTAGGCGACTACTCGTCCTTGCTGCATTAATACACACCCCAATCCTTGCTTGCTAGCATCGGTATATATAACATACGGTAGGGTTGGATCGGGAATTATCAGACAGGGGTCGAGGTCAACCTTCGTTTCAGCTCTTGGAAGCTAGCCTCACATTTATCATCCCACACGAATTACTGGTTCTTACGTGTAAGTTTAGTCAAGGGCTGTGCAATTCTCAAAAAATCTTTAATAAATCTTCTATAGTAACCTGCCAATCCAAGAAAGCTTCGTATTTCTGTAACTGTTTTTGGTTGCTCCCAATTCAAAACTGCTTCCACCTTACTGGGATCTACTGCTACTCCATCTTGGGTAATCACATAACCCAAGAACTTTACTTCATTCAGCCGAAACTCACACTTGCTGAGTTTGGCATATAGTCGTTTCTCCTTTAAAATACTTAGAATGATTTGTAAATGTTGTTCGTGCTTCGCTGGTAACTTGGAATATACTAAGATATCATCAATGAAAACCACCATAAACTGATCTAGATATGGCCGAAAGATCCTGTTCTTGTAATCCATGAAAATCGCAGGGGCATTCGTTAGTCCGAAGGGTATTACCAAGAACTCATAGTGCCCATACTGTGTTCGAAAAGTAGTTTTCAGAATGTCCTCTGCTTTAATCCTTAATTAGTGGTAACCTAATCTCAAGTCAATCTTGGAGAACACTGTGGCACCAGCTAATTGGTCTAGCAAATCATCTATTCTAGGTAGTGGGTACTTGTTTTTAATCATCACTTTATTGAGATCCTGGTAATCAGTGCATAACCTTAGGCTACCGTCCTTCTTACGAACGAACAAGACGGGTACTCCTCATGGTGACACACTGGGCTGGATAAAATTCTTTTCTGAGAGCTCCTCTAATTGCTTCTTTAACTTTGCTATTTCATTTGGAGCCATACAATCTGGGGCTTTGGAAATCGGCCCTGCTCCAGGTACCAGGTCAATTGCAAACTCTACCTCTCGCTCCGGAGGTAACCTGCTAATTTCTGTCAGAAAGACTTCTAGAAAATCGCATGCCACGGGTATCTCTGTTATGCCTTCTTCCACTTCTGCATGTACAGAGAAGAATACCACATACCCCTGATAGCCATGTCTTAGGCAATCCCCGGCTTGGGCTCCCGTAATCAAGCTCAGTTTCACGTCGTTACGAGGGGTTAGCTTATGAGGAGGAAAAATCAAAGTCCTATTCTTATAGTCAAGGAGTATATTATGGGTAGACAGCCAATTCAGACCAAGTATCACATCAATCTCATGAAAAGGCATACATATTAGGTCAAGTGTAGTGCAACAGTGGCCATAGCAGACAATACAATTTAGGCAAACATCAAACGTATAAACTTTAGTGCCCATAGGAGTAGCCACACATAGATCATATAATAATGTGTTAACAGCAAGGCCTATGCGCTTCGCGCATTCATATGAAACAAAGGAGTGGCTAGCACCCGAGTCAAAGATAGCATGCACAAGGTAATTATTAACTTGAATCGTACCTTGTATCATCTTAGGCTACTTATCAGCCTCTTCCCTTATGAGGGCAAAGACCCTCCCTTGAGCTTGGGGCCTCGAGCCATCCACATTAAGGGGGCACTCCCTTATATAGTGTCCTGGCTTGCCATATCGGAAGCACACATTTTGACCCATTAAACATGGTTGATCTCCGTGGTTTTTACCACAGGTGCTACATTCCTTGGTCTGGCGTGTAGTGCTTCTTCCTCCTTGCCTTACTCCTCCTCCTCGTTTAGGCTTCTTGGAGAACATAGGCTTTTGCCTCTTCCTATTTCCTCCGGAAGAAGTCCCCTCTGGTCTGCCCCTTGTTACTGGCCCTTCTGGTCTAGGAGCAGCCCTGACTAGCGCCTGGTGGTTCAGGCTACTTTCAGTAATGTGGCAGGCTTCCACTACCTGGTTGAACTTTTCAAGTTGTCATGGGGCTACCTTCTCCCTCAGCTCCTGTGTTAGTCCCCTTACCATTTTCTCTGTTTTTCACCGCTCATCATTGCGGAGTTGGAGGTAGTTAGAGTAACGAGAGAGCCTCATGTACCTATCTAGGTACTCATCGAAGGACTCTTGAGGACCTTGTTGAATCATCATAAATTCCACCTCTTTTTTGTCTCTCACTGACAGTGGGAAGTATTTCAAATTAAAGTATTACTTGAACACTTCCCAGGTAATAGGGGTTGCATTCTTGTAGAGGATCATCTCAGTGTTCTTCTACCAGCGATCAGCTTCGCCCTCCAGTTTATAGATAGCCATCTGAGCTTTTCTCTTAGAAGAACATTCAAGCATATTAAAAATCTTCTCTAGCTGAGTAATCCAGTCCTCAGCCACTTGGACATTCAATGTCCCTGTGAAACTCGGGGGATTCTGTGCACTGAATCGTTTGATCCACTGTCTTAGTGAATCAGGATCCCCTGCAGGTCGTACCTGCTCAGCTGCTAGTTCTTAGGGTTGAGCTGGCTGTAGTGCCTCGGCCACGTTTGGCCCAGCCTGTTGCAGCTGTGCTATCGCTGCTGTCACTGCAGCTGATATGGCAGCATCACGTTCCTAGTCTTCGCGTGCTTGGGCCGCCTGAATTTCTTGCATCACCTTCTGTTGTTCCTCTAGTTGGTCCATAACTAATTGAATCGTGTCAATAGGAGGTTCCCTTGCTGCCTCCCTTGGTTGTGTTTCTCTTCGGGTTCTCACCATTTTACTTAACTTTTTACTACAAGAGGAACAGAGGAATAAGATTATTACTTAGTTATCAAAATATTTTATACTAAGCTATGCTTCATATTTGTACATAGATAGGTTTCAGGTATAAGCATCCAAAACATAGATCATCCAAGTCACATATACAGTCATCCACTCAAGACATGGGAGAGAAAGGAAAATAAAAAGTAACAAAAAGCTCGAGTTCGTCCAGGATCTGATCAAAGCTTCCATAGGTGTCTTGCTTGGAACAATCACTAATCAACTGGATCTGATCTTGCCAAACAGGGGTCCTTGGCAAAGTGTCGACTAAGGCCTATCCCCATATCTCCTCATCTATCTCTCCCTTGTCCTAGTCGGCGATATCACTATGTAACAGTCGTACGTAATAAAAATAGTCCATATAAATGTACCCATACTGGTTATGGGAGATGTCAATCTACCTCCCCAACTTATAGAGCTCCTCAAAAATAGCTTGATAGGTGTGCAGCTCTTTTGTGACTAACCATTGCCTCTTCTTCGAAGGCAGGTCCTTCTCTAAGATCTGATCACGGTGCACTACTCTGATAGGCTGTGGCTTCGTCCCACTAGGGCCGGCTTTGTCTGGGTTAAGCTTAGGCCCCACAGCACTCCTGGCTTCATCATCCTCTAACCTTTTACTACCATTGGAGTCTATCTCGGGAATTATATCCTCTACCTCCCAGAGAGGCTGATAATATCCGAGTGGTGGAGTTGGATCATCAGGGTCAGAAACATGTGGGTGGTACCAGTCCGGGTACGGTTCCCCTGGCCCTCTTTGATCAACTGTACCCCCAGGAGAATCGTGCTCACGACAAGCCATATCCTGCATCAAGGGTAGTCCAATGCACACCTTTCACGACATAACACATCACACACAATCAAATATGCATTATCTTAATGCATTACCATATCGAACAGTACATATAAAAGACAGTCCAGAACCTTTGCTTTGATACCAAAAATATCACACCTTCATTTTAAACCCCATTATACGTCCTTTAGAACCATTTGGAATCGTTACACGATGCTCAAACTAGGTAAAAACCAAGATTTAAATTTTTGATTTCGGTTACTGTTCATGTAACCCCAAAAAATCGGGTCAACTTTGAAAAATCATAACTAAATCTAAAAAAATTGAAACAGAGTGGTTCTAAGTCTCACATGAATATTATGAAATGGGCTACATAGAAAAAATATTCATAGGTATCAATTTGTCACAAATCAATACCAATTTCCACGCAATTATGTACTGTTCATTTGGTAAATTCTAAAATTTCCAGTATTTTTGCCCAACTTTGAAAGGGCATAACTCTTTTCACAAAATTCCAAATTTAATGATCTACCACTTGATTTAAAGCTACAAAATGATCTATTAGTCTGCCAAATGTCAAATCCAGATTTGAAAATTTGCTATTTATTTCGTATGCACCAAGTTTGGTCCTTTTTAGTCAAAGGTTATCCCCTAATTACCTTTGTTTTGGCTCTTTCATAACCTTTTACCCATCCTTAATCATTTGGGGTTTAATACAAGCTTGAACATACATTCTACTATGCTTTCACATGTTTAAACATAGACATACATGCTTGGCTCCCCTTAGGAGCTATTATCCAACAAACATTTCCAAAGTCATAATATTACATAACAAGTTTCAAAATTTATATTAGGGTACATTAATTGTTCATTAGGCCTCCGGGACAATTTCTTTGCCTTTCCACTTGCTTGCACTTCCTCCTAGATGGTGTTAAACATAAGAGTGAGATTTCAAAGAAATCCCAGTAGCACAGAATCACAATTATCATGCATTCCTGCAAACACTACGTGCAATGCTTTTGTGCATTTATCTTGTTTATATGTTCATGCTCTTATGCCATCGAAAATAAGCTATCATACACATATTCAATGGACATAATGCCAAGGAAACATAATTCAAACATTGCAATCAACATTTGCAATAAAGCTTAGTCACATTATGGCATACATGGCTTGGGAAAAAAAGGTTTAAATCCATATAATACAATATATAGATCATAATTCCCTCAAGCCATGATTACTTCTTTTCCCTTCTCCTTGGAAGTAGTGGCACCTAGGATATCATGTTATAGGAGGAATGAGATTTCATAAAAATCCCAGTAGCATTGAACATACAACCATCAGGTTAACATGCATAAGATGTCATGCTACATGCAGTAAAATAACATTGCTAGTCATTATGCCATGCCATAACCATTCTGTATCCATGTCATCATCATGGAGCATCTAATCATTCCAGTCAAAAACTCAATCATGCAAGAGCCAAGGCATACATTGCAAGGAGTTCACATCATCTATGCATAAACATTCTCATGGCACATAAACACACATAGCAGAAACACCAAATGCAGGTCAACAAAATAATTGCAAGTTCACGCTACCTCGGTTCCACGCTTAATGTTTCCTCCTTGTTTTCCTTGCTTGAGGTCCTCTTAGGTTTCCAGAAAATTGCCTATAAACCATACAGTAAGGGTATGGTAAATTTCATATCCAGTATACAATTCTTTCTCAATATAATACTACCCTTGTGCCTTTCAATTTATAACTTTTGTATACCTTTCCTAATCCTTTGACTTTGGTTTGACCACACCTTAATCCTCAATTAAGGTCTTGGAATTCTTCCTTAATCCATGATTAATCATGCTTTCTTGGTTAATCACTAACCCTTAATCCTTAATCGAATATTTAATTAAGGTCCTCAAGTCACATAGTCATTAATACAACATAATCCTCTAAGATTAAGTCACTAATCCCTTATGGATTAACCATTAATCATTCTCTAATCAACATGATTAACGTTTAATCATTCCTTAATCAACATGATTAATCATAATTAATCATCCTTCAATTAACATAACTAATCACTAGTCATTAATTAATCAAGGTAGCTAACCTTAATTACTTACTAATCTTTAATCAAATAACATGATTAATCTTAGCTATCACTAAACTATAATTAATCAAGGTAATTAATCCTAATCTTCCTCAAATAAATCATTAACTAAAAATAATTAACACTTAAGGAGGTAAGCATACCTTAATTAGCTCTTAATCAGCGATTAGAGGCGTTTAACCTTTCTTTCTCCCTTTCTCTCTCTTCTTTCTTTCCTTCTCTCTCCTAGAACTTAAGAGCAAAACATTCCCTCTCTAGGAAAACATCTTGGCTGAATTATGAAGGGTGAGGGGGTATTTATAGGCTTGAATTTTTCAAAATACCAAGAATGCCATTGGAGAAAAAGATGCGATCTCGGCTGTCCATTTTTTTTCACTTTACACATGGACAAATCTTAGAGCACAAGCCTTGAGATCATGACACATGGAAGGACACCTATTCACCATGTGATTTTCATGTTGTAAAAAAAATATTATTTTAATGTTTTGTCTCTTATTTCCCTTTATGCCCTTGAACAATTTGGAAAATTCCAACCTTGTCCTTTCCCCTTATTTTGGCCTAATTATTACTCTAAAAATTGGGAGAAAAATGACTCATACAATATTCAGTGCAATCCACTGATTTTTTGTG